CATTAAAAACTCCGTTAAGTATCCCGAAGCTCTTGGCCGAAAGTTTAGGAAATTTTAAAGTTTCGTAACTCAATCGTTTTTAACCAAATTTGACCTATAATATATCAAAATGAAGATAGGAAAGTGTAGAACAAGATTATACCTATTTGGAAGCCCAAGGGTTGCAGGAGATGGGCGGTAAAAAGCCTGAAAGATGATTGGTCCGCGGAAAAACTGGAAAACTCACTGAAAACTGGGTAAACTTTAAACTTTCATAACTTCTTCAATACTCAACGAAATTGAGTGATTCAAAAACGAAAATCATACTTCTCAATGAGACGAAGCTAATAGTACCTTATTGATGGCTAAATCACCGTATTTTGGTCTAAGAACTTCTCGAAAGTGGCTATCTTGGTCAAGAGTTAGCCACTTTCGATCTATTTTCCGGCCAAACCACGGATATTTAGCCATCTAGAAAGGTACCATTCTCTTTGTCTCGTTGAGAATTATGAGTTATTTTTTTGAATCACTCGATTTCGTTGAGTATTGAAGAAGTTATGAACATTTAAAGTTTACCTAGTTTCCGGCGAGTTTTCCAGTCACTTTTCAGGCTATTTTCCGGCCATCTCTGACAAACATTGGCTTCTAAATAGGTATAATCTTGTTCTACACTTTCCTATCTTCATTTTGATATATTATGGGTGGAATTTGGTTAGGAAACGATTGAGTTACGAAGTTTTGAAAATTGCCCAAACTTTTGGCCAAGAGCTCCGAGACACTTAATGGAGTTTTTAACGGAATGATGAAAATAATGGATGGTGGACAATCTCATGGACCATTTCTATTGATTTTCAATTTCAAGGACCGAAGTAATGTGTTATGTAAATCTGAGAGACTATTTTGGCTAAAAAACCTTTACTAAAAGGTTTCTATGGAAATATGCTTTTAGTTTTTGAAGCGAAACTACGCATATATTGCTCATCCGATGCATCAACCATTCCATGTTTCACAAGTTCCCTTACTGGTTACTTCTCAACAACAAATTATTTCGTATAACACGCATTGTTTTGTATCTGCAATTAGCTGAAATAATACTATAACCAATCGGTGCTTTTCTGATACCCTGAAATGACAAAGCTGCATGTTTTCAGCACTGTTTTTCTTGAAATTAGTCAGCTTTCGATGACTCAAAAACTTTCCCCAGTTGTATGGCTTGTATTTCGCTTGATTTTGTTTGTCTGCGAGCTCCTCCAAAGGCTTGACTAAGGTGTAGTGTGCTGGGTTGACGAAGAATGGAATGGAAAACCTTTCCTTCTTCGAATTCACCACTACTCTGTGTTCCAAACTCGCATATCTGTCATTGCTCCAAATGGTTTTAAATTCTTGTGCATGTCCTTTGGTCCTTTTGTTGGAAGTCGAAAGCAAGTTTGGCTACTAGCAAATTTCTAAATAATCTGCACATAAGATCCCCGCGTACTGCCTACCAAAATCAGAATGCGAAGTCAAGCATCCTGCACATAAGTACTTAGTATTAAGTTTGGAGAGAGGATGATAAGCTCATATTCATATATATTTTACATCAAATTCACTTGTCTTTTCTTGGTTAGTTCCTTATATTTTTGAGTTATTTACTTTGTTTTTGTGTTTTGTAGGAAGTGTCAAGCAAAGAAGAGAAAAATAGCACAAGTGGGAGTTTAAATAACAAATTCGTCAAAACTGCATGCGCAGATCAGCGGAACCTGCACATGTCACCCACACTGACGTTAAATAACAAATTCCTTAAATAACAAAGTCGTTAGATAAAAGAATCTTCTGCGAGAAAGACCCTTATTTTCATATGTTACAATTAACAAATTTTAGTGTTAATAAGGAAAATCAATAGGATAATTGTGTGGTACTTTGTGGTGTGCTTTTAAACCTATCAGCGGAACCTGCAAAATGTCACCCACACTGACGATATAGGCCTTTGTGGTTGGTTTAACCGGAATACACCACTCTCCATCTGCTTTTCTCTTCACCTCCAGCCCTCCAGCATCATCCTAAGTCAGCACGGTTAGTGGGTGCACTACCATCTTTGTATGCATTGGGTCGGGAATGTTGTCCGGGGTGTTTATGGGAGATAAGTCAATCAATGGCAGGGTTTTGGCCTGTGCTCAGGATCTTGGATGAAAGCTGGACAACCTCTCCCATGGTCGGTGATTTTGATTTGGATGGAAAGCAACTCAATGGTTTTCTTTTGTGCCAGAATGCTACTAGAAGAATGGCAGGTTTTATCATTGAAGTTTTATCTTGAATCTGGACAGATTTTTGTCAATTGTTAATTTGGAAGGTTGCGACGGTTCGCGCTGGCATGGGAGAAATTTTGTGATGATAACACCGACATATGGTGTCACTATTGTTCTTGTTGTCTTTTTCTTTACAGGATGACGTCGCAAACATCGAAGCAAATAAAAAATTCAATTAAGGTTGAGATAGATTAGATGGCATTTGTGGCAGGATGCTAACTTTCAACATACAATATTGTAGAATTTTGGACTTAATCTAGAGCTCTTGTTGTGTTCTTTTCTAAGTTGATTTGATTCTTTTTGGACAGAGCTTATAAAGGAGGTAAATGATATATTTTTTAGCTTCGTAGTTAAATTTCAACACAGGAGGAGGTATTATTCTCTGGATGGATATATATACAGCATGGCATGTGCAGGAAGCTAAAATGACATTCTCATCGCTCAGAAGGCTCCTTGGAATCAAATCATTCCGATATTCTGAAATGAGAAATCTGGATGTTTTCGGTGTTAAGCTTCTTGAAGTTACTGAGCTTTCTGTGAGTAATAAACTTTCCCCAGATGTAGGGCTTGTACTTAGCAGGGTTTTGTTCATTGATCAGCTCCTCCAATGGCTTGACTTGTGTGTAGTGAGCTGGGTTGAGGAAGTAGGGAATGGAAAACCTTTCCTTCTCCGAGTTCACCATCACCCTGTGCTCCACGCTCTCGTATCTCTCGTTGCTCCAAACCTGCATAAACATATCCATTTGTTATGCGAATGAAGCTGAATGCGAGGACTTACCAAGTTCAAAGATTGGTACCTGAATGATGTCACCGACATTGATGATAAAGGCATTTGGGGTAGGTTTAACCCGTACCCACTCTCCGTCTGTTTTTCTCTTCACTTCCAGTCCTCCAACATCATCCTGAGCCAGCACTGTCAAAGCACCGCCATCCTTGTGCCGGCCAACGCCAAGAGCTAACTGAGGTGAAGGGCAAGGCGGATAGTGGTTGAGTCTGATAAAGCTGGTTTGGTCTTTGAAGTAGCTGTTGAACCTGTCTTTCGGCAAGCCTAGGCCCAAGGCAATTAATCCCATCAACTTCAGAGCTAGATTTTCGACTTCTCGAGCATATTCTTCACAAGCATTCCTGGTCAAGGAAGTCGATCTAACTCTTAGATTCATACAATTTCGATTACAAGTACATGTTTATATAATTACCAATTGCTAATTAAAAGTGTATGTATTCAGTATTTTCTTAGTGATCATTGAATTGCCTTAGTTCAGGAGGATACTCCGGCCATTGGTTATACCACTCCGTCTCTTCCTTGTCCTCCGGGTCAGGCGAAGCCGGGACCAACGTAGGCTCTTCCACAGTGAAATCAAACACCTCCTTCCAGTCCCTGACATTCTTGGTATGCTCGCTATCATAATAACCCGACACATTCCTTTCATCCCTTCTAATCTTCCTCTTCTCCTCCAAAGGCAGCGCAAAGAACTTCCGAGCAGCAGCTTCGATCCTTTGGCGCTTCTCCAACAGAACCCCGTGGTTGATCACTTGGAAGAAACCCCAGTCCTTGCATGCATTGCCTATTTCTGCAACAAGCCCTTCAAAGGCTTTGGGGTCGGAATCGGAGTGTGGAGAGTTTATCAGAGAGAGGTCGATCAAGGGTATGCCTTCGACTTCGGCGGCGGAGAGTTTTGGCCTGTGCTCGGGGTCTTGGATGAAAGCTGGATCAACCTCTCCCATGGCTGCTGATTGTGATTTTAGAAGGTTGCAAGTGGATAGGGTTTTGTAATGGTTCTATGGTGGGAGTTGTTGAAGTTTCACATTCTGAATCTGGACGGGTTTTCGTTAATTAGTAGGCGGAGATTTAAGGTTTCTCGGTTTCTTTTGGAAGGTTGCGTGAGTCATCATTTTCTTTACTATGATGTCATTGCAAACGTAGAGCCACATAACTGGAAGAGACTGATCAGTGTGTTCAAATCCAATTTCCTAACCATGTATTATGATAGTCTAGAATATTATTTTATATCGTAAAAAAAGAAATAATACTATGTTAAGAATGAATTTTACATTTATGTAAAGAATGACCTTGTATGTGTTTATAAGTAATTGAGCTACTTCCCAAATTGTCATTGGTTTTATGATCAAATCTTAACTTCTTAATGGTATAAGAACAAGTTGTCCCACGTGTCAAGTCCAATGGCTAAACGAGCTCCATGTCACCTGAGTTGTGTTGTCCATGTGTTAGGCTTAAAAATCACTACACGTGAAGGTGACGTATTGAGAATGAATCTCACATTGATGAGATGATAGACCTTACATGTGCTTATAAGTAATTGAATCACTCCTCATATTACCAATTGATTTTACGATAAAATCCCAACTTTTTTGTACTAAAAGACTTTTAACTTAACCAAGAGGTTGTCTTTGTGTTGTTTTGTATTGCTCGTTGATGGATTTGACTTTAATGGAGAAATTGGAGAGAATTGTGAAAGGGATAGGAAGGAAAATATCAAGAAATCGTGAAGTGGAACGAGGTTTATATTCATATTTTTTTATTTTTTTAACGATAACATGTGGGTGAGAGAATAAAATTAAAAGTAAAATTTGGTTGCACGTAACAACATTATTGTCCAATGTTTGTACCATATTTTACTAATCCCGAAACAACGAGCATTGGTCATCATCATACCTTCAGGAAACCAAGAGATAGGTGAACCGAGCTGATGAGAATTTAAATAAACAAGAGATGGGTGAACCACGGGACAAAAAGTATGCTACCCTTTACTATGATTGGAACGAATTTAAAAATATCTCACCATCACACTGCCTGGAAGTTCAATAAACTTAATATAATGGAATCTTACTGAGTGTAATGTAGGCGCATGATGTTTTAACATGAGGAGTCCAAGAAAGATACGCTCCAATTTAGTGAGAATTAGGATAAACCTGCAGCTATCAGTTAAAGGTTCCACTGGATGAGGGTGCGCGAGCATATAGTTCACCTGCAAGGATACATCAGACCATCCTTCAATCTCATTGACAACAAACCTACCCTCTCCCTTCTCTCTCTGTCTGAATTCCTTGCAAATGACAGACAAATACAACAACCGTACATGAAATCGCATATCCGCTTCTCCCAAGCACTAAAGCTGAAAAACAAACTAGACTTCCAAAATCAAAGTAATTGATTGTACCATCCTCAACGTGCTGGAAACCCAATGAAAGAAAATGGAACAACTTCAATCGTAAATGGACTCAAAGCACTCAAACCAGTGAATTCATTAATCTTCTATCCCATTTTCCCTCGATTTTCTTGGAAACCAAACAGAAAATGAGAAATGAGTTAGACGCTATTCAAAAGGGAGAAAAGTGCAAATTCCCTATCACTCAATTTCTGATATCAAACAAACAAAATTAATCCAAACCCAAAACAACATTAAACGTAAATATTCAAACTTTACTGCCTTTTAGCTCTCTGAATTTACTCTCAAACCAAACACAGAAGCTAAACCCAGTAAATAAATTATCCATTTTTTAAAACCACTTGTCAATTCAACATTAAAAAAAAAAAAAAAAAAAAAAAAAAAGGAACAGAAACAGACCTAATTACTCCACGACACGCACATTTTTTGGTCTAGCAATGCTGCATACATGGAAAACTTAAAGCTCAAAAGTAGACATCCAAGAAAATTAAATCCTTGTGCAAGGGATACAACTATTAACAAAGATTTGGGAAATTTCAATTTTCTGAATGAAGCATCTCTTCTGAATGATAAACTCAGACCTTGGAAATAAACAATAATATTATTATAGGCAAAGAAAAAAGAAGAAAAATGTAAGAAGATATGCAAAAGCAAATTAAGAGATCCTCATATTTGGAGACAGACACACATATAAAGAAGCAAAAACAAATTATTATTGCCCACAAATACCTGAAAATCTTTAGGCTAGGGATTTTCACTCTCTTATTGAAAAAAAAAAATCCCGTTTCTGAGTAATATAACCCAAACTCATCTTATACAGCAAAGAAGTATAGGACTGAGAAAGAGGATGACGACTTTGGTGTGGAAATAACCAACCCTACATCCGCACCTCAACCTACACCTCTCTCTCTCTACAGCCTTCCCCTCAACCCCACCCCCACCCCCCCCCCCGGGCAACCATACCTCCCTCCCTCTCTCTCTCTCTCTCTCCCTCTCTCCCCCAGTGCAGCAAACACGCGTCCCTCTCCCACCTTACCCCCGTATCGAGCATGACCGCACCCACCCTCTCACCTTCTCTCCCTGTAATCCCGCACCCAAACCCCACTCTTTCCACCTGGAACCCCTCCCCACCAACCCTCTCTCTACCTGCAGCCCATCAACCCCCTTGCGAACCATGCCTCTGACGACATCGACAGCAACCACCCCTAAACACAGAATGACAAAAGTGCCTTCAGATCCTGTCCTTTGGATGTGGATTGAAGCGGGCAAAAGAGTCATTTCAACCGTTTATGTTCAACCCAGCCCAACACATTGGACAACCCACTTCCGAAGCCCACACTTGGCCCAAAACCAGCAACCCAAATAATGCCTAGAGCACCCAAACCTACGGACAATATTACCCTCCTAACTTTTGGTAATTACCCTTTCAACCCAGCCCATTTTGCTGGCATTGTTGTAAATAATGCAAAAATCGAATGGCAAATGCGTGACTGAAGCCAATTCCTCTTCTACTTTACAAAAGATAATATTGTAAGTCTTTATTTTTTTTTAATGCCCTTTCATATTTCTCACTTTATGTTCTAAACTTATAAATATTTTTATTTGTAAAGAAGAAGAGGGGAAGTTGTTTGAATTATCATATTGATATTTGAGTTGTAAACTAGTTTTTATGTGTCTTTCTCTTGTTTAAGAGTCTGCATCTTAGTTCTTCTAGTGTCTACATTGTAGGCTGATACTAGAATCAAAGTTCTTAGGATTTTCAAGTCTCTTCTTGCATTAGGAGATAATGAACCCTATCTATCTATCTATCCTACCTATCCATCTTTTTTATCATACTTTTTTGTTCTCATTTCATTTTATTCGTTTTTATCCTCTGCAACCTTCATCAGGATGCTGGTAGAATAAATGAAACCGTGAGGTTCAAATAGAATAAGTGCAAACCTAAATGAAATAATGGTAAAAGGGTTCTCTGGAAAATATTCCTGGTTTTTTTATGCAGAATATGTTTGCAGGTAACTATATTGCTCAGCACTACTCCTTCCTAGACCTGTGAACGGGTTAGATTTATTAGATTTGGGTCGGTTTCAATCCGATCGGTTAATTTAACAGGTCATCTAAACCCAACCCGTTAGTCTAATAAATCATCTATTTCACCTGTTAACACCCATTAACAATTTTTTTTTTAATTTTTAATTTTTTTTCATTCCAATACAATTTACACATATTTTAATCAAATTGCACATATTAATGAACAGTAACATCATACACACACATATCAATTTTTATTTTTTTAAAAGCAAAAGAAAAGGATATGACATCATCATCGCCATCATCAACTTCAATCACCTATCCGGCATTGGTTATGCCGACGTCGTCAGAAAAATACCAAACCCAACTCCCAACTCCCAACTCCCAGGTTCCTTTTTTCTATTATTTTCATGGTATCCAGTATTAGTCGGTAGTATATTCAAATCAAATCCAACCCAAAACCAAAAGCTTCTCTCTTTTTGCATCATTTCATTTTAAATTTCAAAGCTTTCAATTTGTCCATGCTATCAATATCACCATTTTTCTATGTTTCTGTGAGTTTCTGGCAATTGGGTTTCTTAATTTCGTCTCCAAGCTGTCTGCCGTATGAATGTTCCCTTTTGATTCTCATATGCTTTTTTTTTTTTTTTTTTTTTTTTTTGAAGTGGTTAGAGCTTATTGCTTTTAGTGTTAAACTGCTTGAGGACTTCAGAAGATTAGGCGGCTTTCATCAGAAGAGTAGAGAGCGAGAAGGCGCCAGAAGAAGGGGGCCAACCAAAGCGCGGGGCTGCGAGTGCGAGTCGGCCAGGTTTTCTTGTTAAGTCTTTACTGAAATTATTCAAATATCCTCACTTAATGGGTGCTATCGGATGCTAATAGGTTTCGTTGGTTGATCCAAGATAACCCATTATTTAACGGATGAGTAACGGATTCACCCGTTAATAACCCGACCCATTAAGCATCTACCGGAATACTAATTTAAGCGGATGGATGGGTCGGGTGTAAAATCCTTCCAACCCGATTATTCTGATGTCCTTCTCGATGTTGAGTTTCTTGTAATTACTGAGCTTTTTTTGTGAGCCATAAACTTGCCCCAATTTTAAGGCCTATGCTATACTTGGCAGGGTTCTGGTCACTAATGAGCTTCTTCAATGGCTGGATTTGGGTGGTGTGATTGTTTGAGGAAGTAAGAAATCGAAAACCTATCATTCTCGGATTTGAAAAATCGACCCGTGTTCCACACCATTATATCCATCATTGCTCCAAACCTGTACTGTACAGGATAGTCAACACATCTTGAGAAATGACTAATTTGAAAAGAAATTATACAAATTTCAAAGTGGTCTTGAGCACAAAAAGATAATGTGAAGTTTGAAGAGCGGACGTGAAGAACATCAGCAACGTTGATGATATAGGCATTTGGGGTGGGTTTAACACGAATCCATGCTCCATCTGTTTTTCTCTTCACTTCAAAAATCCTCCAACGTCATCCTAAGCCAGCACAGTTAAAGCACCAACGTCCTTATGGGGACCGACACCAAGAGCTTTCTGAGGGGAAGGGCAAAGCGGATAATAATTGATCAAGATAGAACTTGTTTGGTCTTTGAAGTAGCTACTGAACCTGTTTTCTGGTAACCCTAGGCTCAAGGCAACAAGTCCCATCAACTTGAGAGCCAGCTTTTCGACTTTTCGAGCATATTCTTCACAAGCAATCCTAGTCAGGGCGGTACATTAGATCATATATATCAAGTTCCAAATATAAGTTTGGCTTATTATACCCTTAGTGATCACATGAGTTGCCTGTATTCCCGAGAACAATTGGGCCATTGGTTATACCACTTGGTCTCTTCCTTGTCCTCGGGTTCAGGCGAAGCGGGGGCTAAAGTAGGCTCCTCCACTGTTAAATCAAACACCTCATTTCAGTCTCTGACATTTTTAGTATGCATGTCATAGTAACCCAACAAGCTTTTTTCATCCCTCCGAACCTTCCACTTCTCCTCCAAAGGCAGAGCAAAGAACTTCCTAGCAGCAATCTCAATCTTCTCTAGCTTATCCAATACCACCCCACGATTGATCACTTGGAAGAACCCCCCAGTCTATGCATGCCTTGCCTATTTCTATAACAAGCTCTTCAATGGATTTCGAGTCGACATTGGAGTCTGGTGAGTTTATTGGAGAGAGGTCAATCAAGGGTATTCCATCGGCTTCGGTGATGGAGAGTTTAGGTCTGTGATCAGGGTCTTGGATGAAATCTAGATCAACTTCTCCCAAAGCAGTGGAGGCAACAAGTATATTGACTCGTAGGTTTTAAAATTTTGGATGGATGTCAATTTTGTGTTTTTATGGTAAACTTTTTCTTTGCTGTGAGCTCATTGCAGACTAATAATTTGTTGTAGGGTATTAGTTTATGATTTAAATAAGTAGGATGGATTAAAACAGATTGTATCAGTTTACTCTACTCGCAATAAAATTTACAAAATTATTAGTCCATTCAGAACTAAGCCAAGGTCTTTTGTCACTTGAGTAATGTACTATTGTTACTTGTACCCCGTTTGCTAATTGTATTGCAAATCACGTCTCTCGGAAGTTATAGCATGCGTACGCCTCAGATCAGAAGATAAATCAGGTTCCAGATTTGTGTTCAACCCTTAAATTCATAGGTTACAATTAATTTCAATGCGATCAGAGCTACATTCTTTGCTTGATAAGGACATAGAATAGGAGTAATTATTGTTATTAATAGAGTTGAAGGGGTTCTCTTAAATTCGTTCATAGTCATTGAAGCAGAAAAATATTACTAATTTTATTGAAACATTAAGCAGCCCATGTCCACAAGTTCGTTACAAGCTCTCTATACAGCATGGCATTATTTTTGGAACTGATATACAAAAGGAAAAAGAACTAACATTACTTTCACCCAGTAATACTCTTTAGGATCCAACCCACTTATTCTGATACCCGGAAATGATGAATTTGGATGTTCTCGACATTAAGTTTCTTGAAATTACTGAGCTTTCTGTTAGTCATAAACTTGCCCCAGCTGTAGGGCTTATACTTGGCAGGGTTTTGCTCATTTGTCAGCTCCTCCAAAGGCTTGATTAGTGTGTAGTGTGATGGATTGAGGAAGTAAGGAATAGAAAATCGTTCCTTCACCGAGTTCACCATAACCCTGTGTTCCACACTCTGATATTTTTCATTGGTCCAAACCTGCATAAAACATATTCATTTGTTACGTGAAGTGATTCGATGTGTGTTTCTTTTGAGCATAATAAGTTTGTATGAAGTTTGAAGAGTGAAACCTGAATGCTGTCACCAACATTGATGATATAGGCATTTGGGGTGGGCTTGACCCGAATCCATGCTCCGTCTGTTTTCCTCCTCACTTCCAACCCTCCGACATCATCTTGTGCCAGCACGGTTAAAGCACCGCCATCCTTGTGGCGGCCGACACCAAGAGCTAACTCAGGGGAAGGACAAGCCGGATAGTGGTTGAGTCTGATAGAACTTGTTTGGTCTTTGAAATAGTTACTAAACCTGTCTTCTGGCAAGCCTAGGCTCAAGGCAATAAGTCCCATCAACTTCAGAGCTAGCTTTTCGACTTCTTGAGCATATTCCTCACATACCTCCCTGGTCAAAGAAGTGCATTACATCATATAAATGAATTGTTGCAAGTGAGATGTGTTTTTTTCTTTTTTCTTTTTTTAACTATAGGATGGTAGGTGTAATGGACCCTATGAATCCTAAACTTTTTCTTCCTATTAACAATTTATGATTAGCTAAATCTATTCATACTAATCGATGAATTACCTGAACTCCGGAGGATACTCAGGCCATTGGTTATACCACTCAGTCTCTTCCTTGTCCTCGGGTTCAGGCGAAGCCGGGACTAAAGTAGGCTCCTCCACTGTGAAATCAAACACCTCCTTCCAGTCTCTGACATTCTTCGTGCGCTCGCTGTCATAGTAACCCAACACGCTTTTTTCATCCCTCCGGATCTTCCTCTTCTCCTCCAAAGGCAGAGCAAAGAACTTCCTAGCAGCAGTCTCAATCTTTCGGAGCTTATCCAGTACAACCCCATGGTTTATCACTTGAAAAAAGCCCCACTCCCGGCATGCATTACCTATTTCCCTAACAATCTCTTCAACGAGTTTAGGGTCAGTAGCGGAGTCTGGGGAGCTTATCGGAGACAAGTCGATCAAGGGAATGCCCTCGACTTCGGCAATGGAGAGTTTAGGCCTGTGATCAGGGTCCTGGATGAAAGCTGGATCAACTTCTCCCATGCCTAATAATGCTGGTTTAAGAAAGGAGTTTTTTTTTGCAAGAAGAGCTAGCCAGTTGATGCAAATCAATGCAACAATTGGTAAGTTTTATAGTGTCAGTGGCGGAATTTTAATCTTGAATGTGGACGGTTTTTGGTAAATTCCTAGGCGGGGCTTGCCTAGTGCTGCACGATTTTGCTTTGGATGGCTGTGACGTTTTCTCATTTTATTCTCTGCTATGATGCCATTGCATACGTAGAGCAACATATTTGGAACCAAAACCAACTTGACGAAACCGTACAAAGGAAGGGAAAAAACTTGAAACTTATTCCCATATTTTTAACTATTTATCTGCATGTATAGATGCAAATTGTATTCTTCCTCAATACCAAAGGAGGGCATCGTGTACGTGTTATTTTCATGACATACCTGATATCTTCATGTGTCATTTCGTATAATACTCATTACCCGTTAAAGAAAATATATATCAAATCAATAAATGAGCAAATAAAAAACGTAAGTGAGATCAAAGAACCCAACGGCAAGGATTTAATCTCACATAAGATTAAATCATACGACTATTGTTGTGGTATGATTTTTTAACAATTTTTTTTAATTAATGTAAAAGTGTGAAAAATATAAAATGTATATATAAACAATTGTAATGACAAGCTCAACAACTTGAAGAGATCAACTCCGCTACCATAATCCCATAAACCATAGATTTGAATTTAACCGCTGATTTTCGCTTATGTTTACGCTCCAATCTTCAAATCGGATTTCATATTTTTTTTTGTTCATGTCATTTTTCTTGAAAATATGATCTTTTAGAGGATGCAGAAAGATGAATAGTGTAGATCGTTGATATTATATTCTAATTTTTATAGTTAGTGAATATATTATTCGGAGTTATGTCTCTAGAAATTATATAACATTGATTCATGTTTCAGTTGACTGTAAACATTCTAACATGATATCAACAATCTGAATATTTCATTTTTTGCATCCGCTAAAAGTTCATGTTTTTAAAGCGAAACTCTGAAAAATGAAATTCAGTGAGAAGAATAGAGCGTAAACGACAATTGACGGTTAACAAGTGATTATATATATATATATTTTTTTTTTTTTTGTTCATTTTCACATCTCTTCATTAGTTATTATGAATTTTTATTAATTTTGCGCTCAACTAATAAACACTGTTCATGATTGTTTGGAGGGTTTTAAAAATCTAGACAACGATATAACCATTGTCTAAGCTTAGAGGAAGCAGTCACGAGCGTTTGTATATTCTTTTAACATTTTTCACACTTTTATGTTAATTATTATGAATTTTTATTTATTTTGAACTCCTCCTAAAAACACTGTTCATGAGGGTTTGTAGGATTTTAAAAATCTAAACGATAATATACCCATCCTCAAAGCACAAAGAATGAGATCACAAGTGTTTGCATATTTTTTTCACCTTTTTTCACACTTATAAATTAATTATTATGAATTTTTTAATGTGCTTTGGTATTTTTAAATTGCTTATTTTTAAGGTGCTTTGGAATTTTATAATAACAACTATGTGAGATTAAATACTATGGCTATTGTAGTAAGATTTTCTATTAGTTTAATTGTAGACATTGAAATTTCAGTGAAATAAATGTTGATCAATGTATTAAAATTACAACCTTTATTCATTTCACCTACATCAGACACTCATTTCATTTACAACTTCCACTTACTTCACCTACATCACACACTCATTTCACCTACAACAACCCTTGAAGAAAGTGCTCATCGTTCATCATCCGTTTATCCCAAGATCAAGCCCCAACAACCTTTTGGATCAACAACATCAACAAATCCACACATCCAACCGTTTTTCAAGATCAAACCCAAAAGCCCTTGAAGATCCACTCATCCATCAACCTTCAAGATCAAGCCCAAAAGCCCTTGAAGAAACCCACACAACCAT